ATACTTATATACGAAAATAGAGGAAAAAAGCATATAATTTTGTAGATAAAATCTTAACCAAAAATAATTTTCAAGGAGATTCTATATATGACTAATATATATATATCACTACCGTTATTATTTGTATATTGTCGTATACTAGTGGCTAATACATATTAATATAAACACATGCATAGAAATTACAAGAATTTGGACACTATATGTTATATAAGTAATTTTTGTATTATTTTTGTATATTATATAAAGTACTTTAATTTAGAAAATTAAAGTTCTACTCCAATATTAATCAAGTTAATTATACTCATATGCCAAAGTATGTTTAAATATTAATATCATAAATTTACTATATTCTTGTTTTGGGCTAAGAAGGTGAGATCAATGTTACAAATATTATTTATGTACAAATATTCTTGTTTCAATGTTCAAATTTTTAGTCAATTCGGTTATATCTATTGTTCGTCGCTCTTCTATAGATAGGAATTTCGTTCTGACACTTAGAATTCTGACCCTAATTTTGTTAATTTATCAAGAATTGTTAAAGGCAGTAACCGTACTATATATACATTATTGCCCTACAAAAAAATTTACACGCACTGTTCTAAATATTTAGTTAAATAATTCAACTTCGAAACTTCGAAACTTTCAAAATCTATTTGTAGTATTCAGTTTTTGAACAAGTTTAATAATTTATATAGTAATTATTGACACATTGAATGTGAATTTTTTTGTTGCCTACTTGAGAAATATTCGGTTTGCTATGGCAGTTTTATAACTATATAGGTCTAATTTACCTTTTATATAATTTTGATTTTATATTTCAAATATGCCGGTATAATTTAATGTAATACATAAAAATGTATGTGTACATTTAAAAATTAATGTGCATTTTATTTTTCGACTAAAAATCCCAAACACGGCAACAAAACTTAAAAATCTTTAAAAAAAAAAAAAATTTATAAAATTTTTAAAAGTTTCAAAAAACCAATTAATCTTTTCAATACATTTTGCTCTAAAATGAAATTACAAAATGATATCAAAAATTTTATTTTTAATTTAGTGAAAGTTAATTTTTTTTTATTACAAGGCTCTTATAAAAACTAAATAAAAAACTACAATACTGCATTACACACGTTCATTGTACTAGATTTTCTTGAAAAAAAAAAACAGAGCAAAATTTAAATATTTTAACAGTTTATGTGTACACGAGAAGTAAATTTTGTCAATATTTTTTTTTTTTAGCATTTTGCTGTGTACACTTCAATATTTGAATTTTAAATGTTAAAAAACACCGAAAACATGGATGGTATATAGTTGGAATATTAAAAATAAATTACGGTAAAACTGAAATTGCAATAAAACGATTATTAAAGCAAAAAAGAAAGAAAAGGACATTAATTTCATCATGTATAAAAACATTATTATTTTTTTTTTCTAAAAACGGCAACAATTACGTGCATATACGTTTATTTGAACATACATACATATGCTGTTTTTTTATTTTATTTTGAAAATTTGCATATTTTTCCAAGCGTATTCAATTATATTAAGTGGAAGGAAAAAGCATGTTATATTTTTTTCAACTTATCAGGATCAGGGCTGCCGTTCTACAATTTCACAGAGTAGACAATTTTACAAGAAAAAAAAACGGAGCTTTCAAGTTTGACTGTGAAGCCCGTCTACCCGATTTCGTATTACTATAAAATACCACTCTATGCTAATTAGTATTCTACTATTCAACTAAAGATACTTAATTCATTGCGAGATTCATTTTTCAAATCGTTATTTAAGAATTGCCAATCTAACTCGTTATACGTCTATTTAAATTCCACACATATAAATATATCAGAAAGTAATATACATTTCACCTTCGGTTATCAAGATAGACGTTCCAATTTTGCATAAATAGCTTTAGTTCACATTTAACCATAAACAAGCAACGGATTCCAAAAACCAAAATATTTTGATTTTTTTTTTTTTTAAACTTAAAAAACTGGCGAAGAAACTTTGAATTTGGTTTCTTATGATTTTCTGTTTAGGGATCTAAGTAATGTAAATGCTTTTTTGTGTTTATATTTTATATTTTTGTGTTTTATTTCAATTAACCCTTGAATAGTGGAGAAAATAATTTTTTAAGAATATATTTATATATAATAAAAATGAAAATAAATTAAAACGAGAAAAAAAATAGAGTTGACCTTGTCAACTCTGTGATACCCGTACGAATTTGTTATCCTATGTGCAAATAAAGATGCCATAACTGACCATGGGACAGACTATGACTTTAAATTGCCGTATTACCATATGAATATATGCAAAATTTTAGTACTGTGTGTTTTTCAAAATACTGTGTGTGCCAAACTACTATTCTGGTAGTTGGTAGCTACTAGAAAGAGCTAAGAAATTTTAACAAATTTTATCAAACACATTGACCCTACTAACATATTCGCTTGTGTGAAATTTCAATACCATAGCTTATATTATAGTTTCTGAGATATAGCCAAATAACTTTTGAAGTTGTATGGCCTTCAAACATACGTTCGTACGGGTATAAATATTTCCGGTATACTTATTATTAAAGAGGGGCTTTTTGTATCCATAACTGACAAATCGGAGCTCTTTATCGAGTATAGTGGAGCACGACAGCATACATACAAAAAAAGGGAGCAGAAAACTCATTTCGGAGCCTAAACGGCAGTGCTGATTAGTTTTCTTCTATATTATAAAATTATACAAAAAAAAAGAACATGAAAAATTTTATTCTATATTAAAAACAGAAAATTTTTTTTATTAAATGGAAATTTTTATGTTTTTATTATAAAATTGCAATATCATCAATTTTTATATAAAAAAAAATCTTAAAAGTCCTTTCATCTATATAGGTGAAAATTTCTAAATATAGTTTATTAATTTTGAATTTAGAAAATTTAGAGAAGAAATTTTATTGCAAAATATTTTAAAAATTAAATTTTTATATTCGAAAAATCCACACTATAATAGGTCCCTCTTCAAGGTACATAACTTTCCTTTTTTTGGATTTTTAAAAACCTTAATGTTTATTTATAGTTAAAAAAAATTTTTAAAGAAATTTTCAATTCATTGATCGTATTTTAATCGTAATTTTTAATTAAAACCAAGTTCTTAAATATTGACCTTGTTTTTTCCTTCTTGGGTTTTATTATTGAAAATATACCTTTTAATTTCATTTGGTTTCTGGCAAATGCCTATGGCATCACGAAAGTCAAAAAAATTTATTTATTTATATTATGTGCGCCTATATTGTTATTATTATTCTTAAGAGTAAATTATTTATTCCTTTTCTCTTTCAAATTTTATAATTCATTTTTTTAATATTCATAAGCATATTATTAAAGTTCTTATATTTGTACATATATAGAAATTCGGTTAATGTCCTTAAAATTTAAATGATACAAAATTTTCCAGAATTTTTAAGAATGTTTTGAAAATATTTTTGAAATTTATACATATTATGTAATGTATGTATGTATAAGAAAATAATTTTTCTTTAATATGCAAAATTCTTATAGTTTATATATGCATATTTTTTAAATATAATGTAGAGGCATTTTAAAAAATTTAGAGCAGCCAATTAATTAATATTCAATTATTGATTTAGTATATAGAACATATTTATTTGTATATACAATGATCACAGGTTATGGTATTACAAAGTACGAGTATATAAGGTGTTTCACATAATGTTGCAAAAAATTTGGATCAAAAATGAATCAGAAATGATTCTTGAAAATTTCAGGAATGTTTTGGAACACATTTAACAGGGGTTACTGGCAAAACTATAATAGACTGAAATAAATATTGTATAGAGAACTGGAGTAGGTTTCCTTTGGGTAACAGGTCAAATATAATTGATTTTAAAAATCTATCATTTATCTTTAAAACAAGTGCCTTAAGGTTACTCTTAAGTTACACGACTCCATCAGTTATGTGAAAGGAAAATCTAAGACAGATTATTTTCAACCGGTTATAGCTCCCAAACACGTATTCTCTTTCCTCCCTTTACGATTGTTTGCTGGAAATTGATTAAAGAATCGGCTCTAAAATTGTTTGCAATTTTATACGAAACACTGTGGAAAACACAAATCAATTTTGAAAATTAATTTTAAATAAAAAAAATTATGTAAAAACAAAATATGGCTATTGTGATAATTCTTATTTATTCGTTATAAATTGCATACTTATAGGATGACTTGAAATTTGACAAAACGAAAAATTCTGTGGTAGTAATAAGAATCTATTTAAATTAAATTCATTTAGATGCAATAAAATAAAATTTTAGTCAAATAAAATTTAAAAGTTTTATTGATAAAATTGTCCTAGAATAGAATTTCGAATTTTATATGCTATTGTTGTCTCTTTCATATAGAAATTCAATTTGATACTTAAATTTATATAAAATTAATAATATATTGATGAAAGTTTTTCACATATTTAAACATATATTGTATGTACGTTATATTTTCATATATAAATGTACTTGAAACTATACTAGACTATCTTCAATTAAAAAAACCCTTAGCTTTTCCTAAGAGAAAAAAATTAATTTATAAAAAATTACTCACATTATCCCTACACTACTTAAATAAGTGCACAAAAATTTTCTTTAAATTTTATAAATTTTTTCCATATTTCCTTTTTATTTGGATTGCAAAAAAAAATTCTAAATAGAAAACTTTAAATATACATTCCATATAACATTAAATACACATCTCATACTCTCTCATTACATATACACATATATAACAATTATATAACGCTTCTTCTAATTTTTTATTCCCATTTATCTTTTTCTTTTAAAATATGAGAAAATCAAAATTTTTCATTTTAATTTTATTTTTGGGAATTTTTTCAAAATTATAAATTATAAATTAAAAAATGAAAAAAAAAAATAGAAAATAAAATAGGAAACAAAAAAAAAGAAAAGAAAAAAATTCGCATCAAATTGGTATTCATTTTAATTTCAGCCTGAAGAGCGTGGAACTCCTTCAAGAAGGAGTAAATCTGAGGGTCCACATGGTGTTCCAAATGGAAGGGTATTCCCAATTTCTACAATGCAAGAAACAACCGATGGAATTGATCATGGAGTTACTACAGCGCAGGTAGTAAAAATTAAAAATAATAAAATCGATACGAAAAAATCAAAAATTAATAGATTTTTTAATAAAAATGAAAATAATAAAAAATTATCATTTCAAATGCACTTGTAAATTACATATTATATATACATATATATACATTATATTAATATTATAGTATATACATAATTATATTATATAAATATTTTTCATTTTGTACTTTTTTTTTGATTATATATTTTAAAATCATACATAAATGTAAATATATAAAAGTCAACAATTAAATAATTTAGTTATAAAATTTAATTTACATACTAAAATTTAATTACAATAATATATTATTAAATATTATATATTGTGTATTATATAAGCTCAATATTTATAGAAAATAATATTTAGAAAATTGAAAATAAATTGGAAAAAAATATTTTTTTTTGCCGCATAAAAAATTTTTATTTTATTTTATTTTCTTTTTTAGTTTTTCGTTCAAATTTTTATTTTAATTTAAAACTCATTCTTCCGAAAACATTTTTTGAAAATGAAATCAAAATTTATTGTTATTCTTATTATGCTATTTCACAATACTAGATTTAGATTCGTACGAAACTTCAATATTGCAAATTCTTAAAAATTAATCAGAATAAAATTAATTCAAAGTGTGTCTGAAAAGAGGTTAGAAAACAAATTCGAACTTTAGTCATGCAAAAGCTGATCAATTCCGAAATTTTCAAATCTAATCAAAATTTTAAATATAAAAATTATTCTTTTCCAAAACCCTTCCTACCTGCTCGACTCCTCGACTCTTCCTCTTTAATTAAACTTATTAAAGCGGTTCACCAATTTAAGTTTTAAATTTTTTTTTAATATAAAAAACAAACAGAGAATTATTTCTAATATTTTAAAATTGCCAAGAAAATATAACAAAATTTGTAAGTTTATTTATGTGAAAATTAAAAAACAACCTATACATACAAATGCACGTATTAAGCTATATGGAAGAGGAATTCTTAAATTTTTAACGGTGTGATTTTTCATACATTCCTTGAATTTCTTGAACATTAATTAAATATTGTATGTGTCAATCAGAATTTTTAAATCGCAAAATAATATTTATTTTTTGTAACTTATTAAAAGATAGTTTCTCCAAATAAACCATATTTTTATATCAAAGCCTTATTTTCCCTTTCAATAATAAAGTTTAATTTTTAACAATGTCAGCAAATTATAAATGGAAAATAAACATGGTATATATAAATAAATAAGGCGTATTTATTAACTCTTATAATATATACTTACCACGCACATACATTATAATATTATATAATATTTCTATTTTAGATTAAGATTATAGAGGACCAAAAATAATGTTTATATAAGATTATCAGATTTCCATTATCAAAAAAAAAAAATGAAAAAAAAATTTTTATTCTATATTTATTTTTCCTTTAATGATTAAACAAATAAAAGCTTAAAACTCAATTATATAATAATATTATGTTATTTATTTTATATTCTTTTATAAAGATATAAGTATACAGAGTGTTTCGCATAAGGTTCCAAATAATTTCAGGGAAGATTTTTAAATCAATTTCGAATAAAAAATTGAATAAAAGATAGGAGGGAGATTAAAGTCAGATATACTCGTATTCGAGCTACAATCTGTTGAAAAAAATAAAAAAAAAACTCTAATAACTTCGGAGTCGTGGCAACATGGAGTAATCATTATAGACAGTTTTAAAATAGAGATAATTCATAGATTTTTATTTTCGTTCTTACACAATCAATTATAACAAAGCTTACAAAGTTTCCGAGAAAACATACCCAAAGTGAGAATTTTTTTTTTGAGTTCTTTTTTTTTATAACACAAGATTTCGGAGAAATTTTTGTTATAAATTTTTTTTTTATGCGCAACAATGAGTAAAAGTCCCCCAATACAATATTTCAGTTTAGTCACTCATAGTTTTGCCATGCGTCACACCCTGTATGCACATGTATGTATATTTATATATATGTGTATTTGTGAATAGATTTACACATGTTTGACCTTTTTAGTCTTTGACCCATTCTTTATTCATGAAAAATTTCATAAGTACGAGTTTTTTGTTTTTGAGGAAAGTCTGATTTAATTTGAATAATTATTTATTTTATTTTGGAATATTTATTATAAAATATAATATAGATATAGATCTATGTGTACTACAATTTGTCTTAAATGAATAGTTGAAAATATAATTTAAATTATATTATCATTTATTATAAGTATATTATGAGATCAATTTCTATTAAAACTATGAAATTTTACTCTAGAACCAAAAAGACAAAGTCAATTTTAGTTTAAGATTCTTGTTCATTATTTTAAAGTAAATATAAATAGCAATAAAAATTTAAATGTTTTGAATTTCAATACACTGACGTGGCCAAGACACCTTATTTTATTCCAAAGAATTGTAATGGAAATTTTCTGATTTAAAATGCAATAATAACTTTTAATGAACACTATTAAATCTAAATACGAGTACTAAAACTTAATAAGCAGCTGCTTATCTCACAAACTTTTAATAATCACGTACAATATGCAAAATATTTTTTGTATTACTAAAATTCATCTTAATTTCAGTTCATTCCACAATATTGTTCACATAGTAATGAATTTTTTTTTAATCTTAATGGATGAAATTAATTTTTTAAATTTGATAATAAAAATTCCAAATAAAATTGAAAAAAAATATATATAAGTAAATAACACGTTTCACAGGACCAACACTTAAACTTCTAAAAAATTCTAAAATTTTGTTTCTTTTCAAAAAAATAAAGCAGTTCTTAACAAAATTATTCACTTTTTATATTCTTACTTTATACAAATTTAAAATAAAATATTTTAAGAGAAAGTTATACACGAAATTGCAAAACAATTAAAATTGTAATTCCCACCAAACCTGAAAAAGTTCCATATATGTATATATATTTGAATTGAAACTAAATATTATAAATTTTTTTATATAACAATATAATTAATTTTTTATACATCAGTGATTAATTTTAAAATGCAAAACAACAAAAAAAAAACATTAAAAGTGATCAGTGTATGACCTATTATATTGACCCGAGATACTCAAGTTTTAAGTGGGGTATTGAAAAATTTCACTCTTAAAAATTATTTTACAAAAAAATGTGCAATGGTGAAAATGCTTTTTCTATATTCTTTCCAAATGTTTAAATATTTGTAATATTTATTTATTAACTTCTCAGTTTATTAAAACAATTTGTTAGTTATCAGAAATCCGATTTCTGCAACTTGATTCATGAATTAGAAGTCAGTTCGTATTTCAAATCAACAAATGTAAAATTAACTATCACATTTAGTCTTGTACATTAGATTTCCGAAAATTGATCATTTTACCTAATTCATTAAGAAAACTTTCGTATGTTAAACATAACTGAGATACCAAGTTTTCGATCAGTGAAATTATAAGTACGAAAACAATACCAACCCTATATTAAGTATAGAATATAATCCGTTCATCTATAAATTGACTTGCTTGTATTAATTAAGCAAAACGAAAAGTATAAAAATAAAAATCATCACGAAAAAAAAATGCATAGATCCGAATTTTTTTTTTTGTTTCAATTTCTTATAAATATTTCGTTAGATAAGAGCTTTGTTTATATCTAATGCAAGTTATTTGCGTCACTATCAAAACACACGTACGACCGCACATTAGTAAAATCGACAGGTCATTTATTTGTTTTAAGAGCGGTTTTAAGATAAAACGAATTTCACTAATTTTAATAATTTTTTTTTTTTTTTCAAATAAATTTAAATGAAAGTCGACATCGAATAAAACTTTCGTAGAAATTTTAAATAAATATGAAGTTTAATTATATAATAACATTCGCAATCATACTCAAGATAGATTATCATTAATTATTCAACTATTATTGTAAACCGCAGTGCATACGATTAAAGTGGTAATGTAATGGCACCAAATTTCGTTTGTCGAGTTTTCTGTGGAAATGCACTACCCCATGGTAGGGAAGTTTAAATACACTACTTTTTGAGAGATGTTTGCGGGTAGATCAGAACAGTATCTCAAGTTCGACTAGATCAATTTAACGAAAATTTTTATCTGAGTTTATTTATTAGTTCTCAAGTTATTGAGAATGTGACGATTTGCTCAACTTTCAGGATATGTCAGATCTCTGAAATAGAATCTTTACTACACGCCGAATTACCATTTTTACTTATATAGAGAAAAGTAATCACCAAATTTATGCTTAGTTAAGTTAAGCTAAATTAATTAAGTTTTATAATTAAAATCAGAATATTAAAACAATGAACAGGAAAATTTTTCGGAAGTCGTTCGGAAAATAAACATTCACTAAAAAAATTTTCATAATTTTATGTAACATTTTAAATATGTACATGCGCGATCGGTTATGTACTGATAACATTATACTTTTTTTTTATAAATCAAACATTATGTAAATCCCATGAGTGACGATTAGGTCAATTAAAAATGGAATTTTGTAATTTTTTTTGTATTATTACATACTAACTTTTCTATTGATTCGTGATAATTTAAATAATATTATTATTTTTTTTTTGTATATTTGTATATTGCCTTCACAATAATTACTACATATTGTGCTTTTTTGGCCGATATACATGTACAGTCCTGTATAATAAATATTAATTTATTTCTTACCAGTAATCTTTTAATTTGCAATAATGGTCCAATATAATGAGATCTCTTTCGTTATTATATTCGTATGGCTTAAAATAAAATTTTTACGAAACCCGCGTCTTAAGTATTATCTATACAAAATAATTGGAAATCGTTTCAATTTCAAAAACCGGCATGATTAAGCAAAAAAAAAAATTTTTTTTTTGTATCGCTTAAATTATTTAAATAAATGCTTTCGTAAAGGAGCTTGTAAGTCAAATAGTTTACGACCATCAATTTTTTCTATTTTAAAAATTTTTTTTTTATTTAAAATTATTTAATTTTATTATTTGCTAACAA